TATCCCTCCCTGGTGGTTAGGGTTACCGAACCAAAGGACACAGCACCATCTGGGTGGTCAGATTAATTCGCCTCGTCGGCTTTGAACCCTCTCAACATCTCATTTACGCGTGATACCTCATGATACACATTCGTTACTGCTCCCAAATCATCAGGTTAATTCTAGGTCTTTTCAGGCAACTCAGGAAGTGAAGGGAAATTCTATTGTTCTTGATTCTTGACTGAGTTGAAAATGACAGGAAACAAGAGGCAGGGAAAGAAAGTAGGGGAGAGGTCGCTGAGCGGGAGGAGGGCTATGAGACGGTAGCGGAGATGATATTTTCGGGTACGAGAGAGCGTCTGAGGGTAGAGTAAACTTTATATTAGACCATCTATAGTCGTCTTCTCTTCTCTTCGCCTTCCTCTTCTCTTCTCTTCTCTTCACCCCCAACCCAAAAACCCAAAAAAAAAACCCCAACAAAAAAAACACCCCCCAAAATTCCCACACACCCCCACACACCCCCCAAACCCCACACCCCAACCCCCCTTTTAAGGGGCAAAACAATCTCAAAACCTCCCAACCCCCCCCAAGGCCCCCCTTTTGCCCTCCTGTGATCAGGCCCTGGCAAAAGATCACGGGGGGGGTAATTTGGTTAATCCTACAGGCCCCTTACCCCTGGGGTTATTTAGGACAAAAGGGTCAATTTTGGTAGTTAACTTCCGGTTTACCCCCTCTTTTAGTGAAACCATCTGTTCAATTTATCCCCAAAACCCGGTTTATTCAGTCTTTTCACCATCAAAATGAAGGAACTTTATTGTTCCAAATTTTTAATTTGGTCAGGAAAAAGGAAGGGAAAAAGTAGGGATTTGATGAGGGGAAAAGGGAGAGGGAGGGAAGAGGAAGGGGGGAGGAGAGGGAGGAGGAAAAAGAGGAGCGAGGGGGGAGGGGGAGAAGAGGAAAAAAAAAAATTTTTTGGGGGGGGGGGGGCCCCAGGGGGGGGGGGTTTTTTTTTTGGGGGGGGGCGGGGGGGGGGGAAAGGGGGGGGGGAAAAAGGGGGGGGGGGTTTCCCCCGGGGGGCGGGGGGGGGCCCCGGGGGGGGGAGAAGAGAGGAGAGGAGATGGAATCAGGAGACACATACACACACACACACACAGACAGAAGAAATGAGATGGGTGGAGAAGGAGCTGTAGAGAGGAGAGATTTCACAATATCTCATTTCTATGGGAGAGACTACATCAGCCGTGGAATGAATGAGAGTTGTGTTGGTGAGACAGGGAGAGTGTGAGTTGGGTTGGGAGGGTGGGGGGGGGGGTTTGGTGTGTGCCTGCTTGTGTTTGTCCATGAGTGTTGTGTGTGGTGTGTGTGTGTGTTGTGTGTGTGTGTGTGTGTGTGTGTGTGTGGTGTGTGTGTGTGTGTGTGTGTGTGTGTGTGTGTGTGTGTGTGTCTGACAGGCTATTGTTGAGCTGATAATAACAGTGGCATTGCTCAATAGGCTGTCATATTTTACAGATTAGATTTGGAGATGCATGCCAAGCGGCAGGGTGTGTGTGTGTGTGTGTGTGTGTGTGTTTGTCTGTCTGTCTGTCTGTCAGGCTATTGTTGAGCATATTTGACAGAATAGATTTGGAGATGCATGCAGACCAACAGGGTGTGTGTGTGGTGTGTGGTGTGTGGGGTTTCCGTGTGAGGGGTTTGGGTTTGGGGTGGGTTGTCGTTTGTGTGTGTTGGGGGGTGTGGTGTTGGTCGTCGTAAAATGTGAGTGTGTGTGTGTTTTGGTCGTTGTGTGTTTGAATGTTTTGTGGTGTGTGTGTTGTTGGTCGTCGTGTGTGTGTGTGTGTGGTGTGTGGTCGTTGTGTGTGTGTGCTTTAGTGAGGACACCACTCTCTGATTGACATTTCATTTTTGAGGTGGTGTGTTAAGCAGAGATGATGAGAGAAGAGATAGACGATAGAGAGAGATGATGAGAAGGAGAGAGAGAGATGGATGATGCAGAGAGTTATGAGGAGAGAGGAGAGAGAGAGATGAGAGGAGAGAGGAGAGAGGGGAGGAAGGACACTTGAGAGATCATGAGAGGACGAGATTAGAGAGGAGAGAGAAGAGAAGCGAGGGAGGAGGAGAGAGAGAGGAGAGGGACCCGAGAGAGAGAGAGAGATGAGAGAAGACGACATTGGAATCAGTAGTAACCAAATATATTTATATTTGAGATTCTTCAATAGCCAACCCATTGCCTTGTGACAATTTGCACACTCTTGGCATTCTCTCAACCAGCTTCATGAGGTAGTCACCGGAACGCATTTCAATAACAGGTGTGCCTCGTTAAAAGTTTGTTTGGAATTCTTTCCTTCTTAATGTGTTTGAGCCAATCAGTTGTGTTATGACAAGGTAGGGAAAGAGGGAAATTACAGTCCATCATTACTTTAAGACATGAAGTTCAGTCAGTCCTTCCTGGTCGAATTGCTGCAAAGAAACCACCACTAAAGGACACCAATAATGAGAAGAGAACTGCTTGGGCCAAGAAACACAAGCAACTGACATTAGACCGATGGAAATGTGTCCTTTGGTCTGGAGTCCAAATGTGAGATTTTTGGTTCCAACTGCTGTGTCTTTGTGAGACGCGGTGTGGGTGAACGGATGATCTCCGCATGTTTATTTCTCACGTAAAGCATGGAGGAGGAGGTGTGATGGTGCTTTGCATGGAGGAGGAGGTGTGATGGTGCTTTGCTGGTGACGCTGTCTTTGATTTATTTAGAATTCAAGGCACACTTAACCAGCAGGGCTACCACAGCATTCTGCAGCGATACGCCATCATAGCGCTTTGTGGTCTGTGATTTATTTCGAATTCAAGTATTGTGTGTGTGCGTCGGTGTGTGTGTGTGAGTGTGTATCTGTGTGCGTCTGTGTGTTGTGTGTTTGTGTGTGTGTGTGTGTGTGTGTGTCAGACTTCATGGAAACCTTTGCCTTTGTTAAATGTTGCTTCATTCCAGGTTAATTGCGTTGGTTTGATCTCTATTGCATTGTGGGAGATGTATTTATTTGTGTGCCAAAAAAATACAAATGAATATAATAAAGAAATTGGAACAGCTGATTCATTGGATTCCCTTCTTTTTAAAACGTTTTTCCCACCACCAACAGAACCAACCTGACAGAAAGTGTAGTGTGTGTGTGTGTGTGTGTGTGTGTGTGTGTGTGTGCATGAGCTAAGCGTATGGTAATTAGTGAAATAGCGTGAAGGAGCTTCTCCTCGTTTGTTAATTCAATTAGCCATTCCATATGGCCTGATTGTGTTGGTCATTATAATTTGATATATCACGACATGGGACAGTGTTATGTGTGTGTGTGTGTGTGTGTGTGTGTGTGTGTGTGGTGTGTTTGTGTTTTGTCATTATCATTTGATATGTCATGATGTGGATTCGTGCATGCGTTAGTTAATTTACAGCCGCTGTACCATCATGTGGGATGTTCTCAGAACCACGTTGCTTTTGACGGTGTGAGGAAACCAAATCAACCCTGACTTCATTTTAATGTAAAGTGATGATTTGAAAATAAACTAATGGAAAGGCTTCTGCTCTCTGTCAGTTTGAGTCTTCATCAAACCGTACCCATAACATCTGGAGTGTATTCATTAGCAAAACACTGTAGCAAAACATTTTGAAACAGAATAAGAAAATGGGTTTTTCTTATTGGACAAGACCAGCCAGTCCTCAGTCTGTTTTCTTCCGTCTGTTACATTTTGAATATGACCCAGTGATGAGTGTAAAGCTGCCGTTGCCATTGTCTCGTGGTTGAGTATTATTTGACGTGTAGTACCTACACTTAACAGTAGGGGGAGCCAACACTTAGAAGGGCAACTTGTAGTATGACTAACAAGTTGGTGTTGATTTCCATGTGAATAATTTTCTAAGATCACATTTTGATACAAATGTCGATGAAAAATGTATTCACTTTTGTATAAGGAGTCGGAGAGAGAGAAAGGGTGTGGGGGGGGGAGAGAGAGCGGGGTGATAGCGAGAGAATAGAGGAGTGGGGAGAGAGATGAAAGAGAGAGAGAGGGGGGGGTGAGGAGGGATAAGAGAAAGAGAGAGAGAGAGGGGGGAGAGAGAGAGAGACAGAGAGAGAGAGAGGGAAGAGAGGGGGGAGAGAGAGAAAGAGAGTGAAAGAGAGAAATACATATTTCTTTGACTAGATAATAAGTGGGTGTCAGTTGAAAGCCAAATAAATGTGTCACCTGACATCGTTATGTAATAGGGACTTCGCCACTTCATTGATTTCAGCTTTATTATTTCCAATCCATTGGTCACAATGAGTACTGATACACTGACAGGTACCACACAGACACACAGGGATGCATCCCAAATGGCACCCTACTCTCTAAACAGGGCACTACTTTTGACCAGGATTCTAGGCTCCTGGGGAAGAGGGTGCCATTTTGGACGTGGGACACACACACTGCCGACAGAACACCACGCCGACTTGTGATTGATACACACACTTTCAACAACCAATAATTAAATATTTATCATTTACACACAAAGAAAATAAAATGGAGTAAAAAAAAACGAACATGTATTGATAATATATGATACATGCAGTGGAAAATATACAAAAATAGACATTTGTTTTTCATTTGTTTTTCTTCTGTACAAACATACATATAAATATAGATAAAGAGAGCGAGAGAGTAGAAAAGTGTGTATTTTTTTAAATACAAAGGTGTTTGTACATGCACACCGCTGTTAATAAAGTCCACCTGACAAGGAGACATGACAAAAACATTTTGAGTGAATCTCTTTTCACAGTAACGTGGGCTGTACATTATAAATGCAAACATTGTCCATAGTTGTTTCTCTCGTAGTTATTTCACATTGTTATAAACATGAAAGAGAGATAAAGAAGTTTAGAATATTGTCTCTGGGCTTTGGTTCAAGTCTTGTTGATATGTGGCCCAACCACAACGTCCAAACAACATTGAAACGTCTCACCAATGTTTAAATAAAGTCTTAAGATCATAAAAACCATCAGTGCTATAGGATCAGTTTGTTTTCCTGTTTACTGGTCCTTGGCCTCTCACTGGACACAGAGAAGACCAATGGAACAGTCAGTAGCATTACTTCAGTTTGAACAGACACTATGAGTGGTTCTTCTGACCAAATATGGACAAGGACTCTTAAGACTTGTTAGTTTGTAGGGTGTCCAAGAGAGCATTTCTCCTCCCTCCCTCCCTCCCTCCCTCCCTCCCTCCCCTCCCTCCCTCCCCCCCCTCCTCCCTCCCTCCCTCCCTCCCTCCCTCCCTCTGTCTCTCTCTCCCCTCCCTCTCTCTCTCTCTCTCTCTCTCTCTGTCTCTCTCTCTCTCTAGGTCTGCCTGACGTCCTGCAGTAGTTTGTTAATCTCAGTGACCAACTCACTAGCGTCCATCATCTCATTGTGGCTCTCGCTGCGCTGCTTCCCCCCCAGGTAACCCATCCCCATCCCTAACATACTCTCCAGCTCATCCTCCTCATAGTTTTCTGGGATCTCCTCCATGGCCGGCAGCCATCTTAGGTGTGGCGGCTGGTTGGAGGAGGAAGAGGAAGTGGAGGTAGAAGAGGCGGCCATGTTGGTCAGGTTGTTGGTGTTGTGACTTGATGGGCTTTGGCCGACGGCACCGCCTCCGGGGTTGAGGTAGTGGGTGTTAGCTGCCCACGCTGCCACGCCCGCCGGGTAGGAGGCGGGGCCTTTGGTGTTGTTGCCGCCCACTAACAGCCCCTTGGCGTGGCCACCGTTTCCACTTCGTCTTTCCGTTGCTGCGGCAGCATCGTTGTTTTCGTTGCACTCGGCGTACGAGTCTAGTGACGACGGGAGCAGGCGCTGGAAGATTCCGTTCATCTCCGAAAGCAAGGAATTCCCTTCACAGACCCCGCCCTCCTCAGAATTCTCGGACTCCTTCCCGAAAGTGGAGAAGCTCTTCCTGTGCTCCGAGGAGTCGATGGAGGTCTGGTCGTCATCGAGGAGGAGGGGGGGCTGGTTAGAGGACTCCTCCCCTGGGATAAACATGTTGTTGCGGTAGTCAGAGGAGGAGGAGGCCGGGGAGGACAGGGAGAGGGCCAGGGGAGGCATCCAGCACTGGTCAGAATGACCCAACACACGACAATCCTCAGTGCATAGGCGCATAGCTAGGGAGAGAGAAGAGAGAGAATGGAGAGGGTTAATGTTGTGTTTGGCACACAGCTTCATAGCTAGGGAGAGAGAAGAGAGAGAATGGAGAGGGTTAATGTTGTGTTTGGTACACAGGTTCATAGCTAGGGAGAGAGAAGAGAGAGAAGGGAGATGGTTAATGTTGTGTTTGGTACACAGGTTCATAGCTAGGGAGAGAGAAGAGAGAGAATGGAGACAGAAGGGAGACACAAGGAATGCAAGTTTTGGTTTGACATTGATTAAACTGTCTCATGGCTCGATAGAGGAGTGAGCAGAGAGAGGAGACAGAGTCAATGTTACGATTAGTTTGATATGCAGTAGCCTACAGGACTGTTGTCTGTCGACACTACTCAGTACACAGACTGGTAGCTAGAAAACACAGTCTCAATGTTTTATCTGGTTTGACATTGAGGACACAGTCCTCATAGCTATGGGAGAGAGGAGACCAGGGGCATTGATACAAATGGATGGTTGTCAACTGATGTCTGTCTAATCCTGTCCCTCTGTTTCCTGTCTAACCCTGTCCCTCTGTTTCCTGTCTAATCATGTCCTTCTGTTGTCTGTCTAATCCTGTCCCTATGTTGCCTGTATAATCCTGTCCCTCTCTGTCTAATCCTGTCCCTATGTTGCCTGTCTAATCCTGTCCCTCTGTTGCCTGTCTAATCCTGTCCCTCTCTGTCTAATCCTGTCCCTATGTTGCCTGTCTAATCCTGTCCCTATGTTGCCTGTCTAATCCTGTCCCTCTGTTGCCTGTCTAATCCTGTCCCTCTCTGTCTAATCCTGTCCCTATGTTGCCTGTCTAATCCTGTCCCTATGTTGCCTGTCTAATCCTGTCCCTCTGTTGCCTGTCTAATCCTGTCCCTATGTTGCCTGTGTAATCCTGTCCCTATGTTGCCTGTCTAATCCTGTCCCTCTGTTTCGTGTCTAATCATGTCCTTCTGTTGTATGTCTAATCCTGTCCCTATGTTGCCTGTCTAATCCTGTCCCTATGTTGCCTGTCTAATCCTGTCCCTCTGTTGCCTGTCTAATCCTGTCCCTCTGTTACCTGTCTAACCCTGTCCCTGTGTTGCCTGTCTAATCCTGTCCCAATGTTGCCTGTCTAATCCTGTCCCTCTGTTGCCTGTCTAATCCTGTCCCTATGTTGCCTGTCTAATCCTGTCCCTATGTTGCCTGTCTAATCCTGTCCCTATGTTGCCTGTCTAATCCTGTCCCTATGTTGCCTGTCTAATCCTGTCCCTCTGTTTCCTGTCTAATCATGTCCTTCTGTTGTATGTATAATCCTGTCCCTATGTTTCCTGTCTGACACTGTTCCTCTCTGTCTAACCCTGTCCCTCTGTTACCTGTCTAATCCTGTCCCTCTGTTTCCTGTCTAATCATGTCCTTCTGTTGCCTGTCTAACACGGTCCGTCCTGTCACTCTCTGTAAACTCTAGATATGTGAACCAACCATTTTTGGGAGAAAGATAGATGTTGTTTTGGTATTGAAAAGGTCAACGATTTTTATTGTGATGAGTGAAAAAGTAAACAAATGAAATCACTCCATTCAATCAGGCACGAAAACTGTTAATCTCCCCTCTTTCAATCCCTTCCTCCCTCCCCTCGCTCCATTCATCTCCCGTCCCTCCCTCCTCCATCTCTCCTTCCTCCTCCCTCCTCCATCTCCCCTCCCTGCCTCCCTCCTCCATCTCCCCTCCCTCCCTCCTCCTCCATCTCTCCTCCCTCCCTCCCTCGTCCATCTCTCCTTCTTTGCTCCCTCCTTCATCTCTCCGTAAAGAGTAGAACAAAAACAGACGAGAAGAGAAGAGAAGAGAAGAGAAGAGAAGAGAAGAGAAGAGAAGAGAAGAGAAGAGAAGAGAAGAGAAGAAGAGAAGAGAAGAGAAGAGAAGAGACTGTGGCTCTCAGGGGGAGAACAACATCATTTTAAAAGCAATTACTGTGAATTCTCCTCAGCTCAGACATGAAAGGGCCGGGTTGTCACTCAAACAGCCGAGACAGACACACACGTATACACCATGCACACACCACACACACACACACAACCACACAGTGACAGACAGAGAGAGTCATGGTCTAAACCGGGGAGGCGTTTACAGACACTACTCTATCTGAGGGCCAGATACCAGGAGGGTGGTAACGGAGCAAAATGGCTGCCTGATAAAACCCTGGAAATTAAAGGTTGTGAGGGAAGAATACAGCTGAAGCACAACTGTGCTGCTGAGTGAATGGGCTGTTATACAGTATGGGGATGTGTTCCAAATGACACCCTGTTCCCTATGTAGTGCACTACTTTTTAGTATACTATATAGGGAAAGTAGTGCACTATTAAGAAAACAGGGTGCCATTTGGGACTTGACCGTACAATGCGGTGTTACAAATCAGCTTTCGACTCTTAGTTAGACTGTTATTAAATACATATAATAATAATATGCCATTTAGCAGACGCTTTAGTCCCAAAGAGCTTACGTCATGCGTGCATACATTTTTTTTCTTTGTGTATTGTCAAGCCAGCCCAGGGAGGATTGGAAAACATGGTAAGTCGTCTGTCCACGGTGCTGAACTGGGTAGGTTCTTTATTAAAGTGGCGGGGAGAACTCTGTGTGAGCAGCCTGGTGTGTCGTGGATGTGCGTGTATTATGGTCACGTTGTGTATCTAGTGAAACAGGACTGTCTTACTACAGTGCGTGACGTCACCTGGCTTGGTTTTTCTATTCTGTGACATCACTACCCTGCACCCAAATTACTTTTAATACAAAGAGTATAAGCTAGTTTCCTGAACACAGAAGCCAAGTCCTGGACCACAAAGTACTTCCATTGGAGATTCTCCATAGAGCACGCTTGTCAATGATTAGGTTCATTTGTGTCTGGTAAACCGGCCCATGTCTCTATTAAATTCACCTGGGTGTAGTCTGTGGTGCATGTCCAGGTGGTAGAGCTCAGAGAAGCCCTATAGTCTATCCTGCCTCTACCAAGATGGCGTCTATCTATTAAACTCACCTGGGTGTAGTCTGTGGTGCATGTCCAGGTGGTAGAGCTCTGAGAAGCCCTCCCCCAGCAGACGGTCGATGGGGGACTCTCGTCCCATGTCATAGTCGCTGTCCCCCGCATCGCTGTCCCCACGACCACTGTCCTTCAGGCTGAACTTGTCCATGTCCTGTAAAGCATATCTGGAGAGAGAGAGAGAGAGAGAGAGAGAGAGAGCGAGAGAGCGAGAGAGAGAGAGAGAGAGAGAGAGAGAGAGAGAGAGAGAGAGAGAGAGAGAGAGAGAGAGAGAGAGAGAGAGGCAAAAATACAATTTGTCAGAGTTAAAATGAATGTAATTGGTGTCTCTATGTGGTAAAAGCTGTTGTAGTCATTCGATAATGAACACCATAGATAGGTAGACAGAACAACAAAACAACACTACAGTTGAAACATGGACACGTGATCCACATACTTTTGGATTGAATGATACTGATATGATTAAAACTCAAAACATGATAAACAAAAGAGCTATCTTAGAAAAATGGCCAAATATAGATCAATACTGTCATTGTATATGTTTTCATTGATGCTATTGATGAAAAGTACGGTGGACACAAGGGAATTTAACAACTCAAAAGAGCAAAAGACACTGTTACAACAAGCAAACCAATACGAAATATTTTTTTTTTTTAATTCTTTTTTTACCTTTCTGCTTCTTTCTTATTTTAGTTTGATGTTGCCCCTTAAACAGGTTCCTATGCTGTGAGCTTTCCACCTTCCTTGATCATTGGGAACGAAGCTGTGAGCTTTTTCTTAATCCAAATACAAGACTAAAAAAATAACAGAAAAAAAGGAGGATGAATAACAGAACGGATGGAAACAGACGACATGAGGTAAATAGAGAACAAAGAGTGGGGAGGGAAGGAATGAAAGGGCGACAGGAGGTAGGTATCGAGCGCGGGGGTGATGGTCGGCGATGGGGAGGCTGTTCATTAGGAATATGTCCTGCTGACGTAGGGAGACAATGGGTGAGAGAGAATAAGGTAGTCTTATATGGGCGATTGGGAAGAAATTAGGAGTGGGGATGGAAGAGGTGGGGGGTTCGCGTTATGGGGGGTGGGGGTGCGAGAAGGGGGGAGGAGGGATCGAGTGATCGAAGAGTGGGAGAAGGGACTGGAATGGGGTAACGGAATAAGTGCTGATGTGGTAGGCGTGATTAGTAGTCGTAATGGTGGAAGGGAAGGTGAGGCAAATGAGGGAGGTAGAAGCAGGGAGGAACGAAGCGGGCGAGCGGAATTGGTAACTGGTAGGCAAAGAAGGCAGAATTTTAGTGGTAGTGTAGATTGCCTGGGGGGGTGGGGTGGTGGGGGAATTAGGATAGAAGAATTTAGAGTATGGTACTACAACATGAGCACCACAACACCACATTTATTTTACCAAAACAATATGTATTACTCACTTTTATTCTTATGCTTCTTGCTTCTGGTTGACACACCTTGAGGAGTTTGATTATACATTATACTCTTATCACAAATGGATTACAGAAATTGGTAATGAAGAAATGAAAATAACAATGTGTGTGGTTTGTGACGGAAAAGCTAAATGAATATGGATATGACTGAGGAGTGGTTTCATAATATGGTTAAATAATGGTTTGGGGGTAAAGACACAAAACCAGACCGGCTCCATGATTTATATCTGTAATCATTTCCAACTAGTTTTAAATGAGAGTCGTTTCACTATTGATTTATTGACAGTTCGGAACACTGTTTTACGCAAGGAGGCTAGGACTTATGACATGGCTATCTTATGGTGGGGGTGAGTGTGTGTGTGTGTGGTGTGGGTGTTGTGGTGTGTTTGTTGGTGTACTGTGTGTGTGTGTGTGTGTGGGTGTGTGAGCGAGCGATAGAGGCGCGAGCGCGCGCGAGAGAGAGAGATCGCGCGCCGCACGCGACAGCGCGCGAGCGCGACAGCGCGCGCGGTGTGGGGGGGGGAGGACGATCGAGAACGAGAGCGACCTCGCGAGCTCATGATCGCGAGCAGAGAGGAGCGCGCGGGATAGATCGCGAGCGACGAGCTATCGCGCGAGAGAGAGAGAGATCGCGTGTGTGTGTTCTCCAGTACCTTACCTCGACTGGTGGCGTAGCGTGGGCCAACTCTAGGGCGAAGCTCTCCGGGATATGATTGGACGATATCGTCACCAGGCTATTCAGTGATTGGCGACTGTGATGGCTCTGCCGGCTTCCCATTGGCGCCCGGTCCATGGGGGGCGTGGCCGAGGGTGAGCGGTGGTGCGCTCTGATTGGTAGAGTCCCATTCACTGTGGGAACCAGTGTGATGTCACCCTTGTGGATCTGCCGTGACGGTTTCTTAGGGTGGTGCTGGTGGTTGGTCTCTGCCACCCTGCAGTTGTATGAGTTCCTGGTATCTTTCTTGTCTCGGTTGCAGCGGGAAGCGAACATAACCATGATGACCAGGAGCATAGTGCAGATGGCCCCCAGCGAGATGATGATGATCAGGGAGGCGTCGAGCGGCGTCTCCCCTTGATCCAACACCTGGACGTGGCCCTCCATGTTCTCATAGAGGCTGATCTTTAGGACAGCCTTGGTGGTCTGGGGCAAGGAACCGTGGTCACTGACCAGGACGGTGAGTTCCGCAAACTCGCGGGGAAACGCGTCGAGGCTAACGTTGGCGCTGATCTCGCAGGTTCTAGGATCCATGGTGAAGAAACCTTCCTCGTTGCCGGTAGTGATGGAACATGTGAGTTCAGCGTTGACGCCGGTGTCGCGGTCGGTTGCCCTGACGACCGTAACCAGGCTACCGGCCTCGGTGTACTTGGAGATGGGGACGTCGGCCGTGAGGTTCCAGAGCTGCGGAACCACGATGACCGGCGGGTTGTCGTTTTCGTCCAGGATCGTCAGGACGACGGTGGCGTTGCTCAGCAACGAGGGTTCCCCGGCATCCTTGGCCTGGACGACGAAGGATATCCGGCTGACGTCCTCGCGGTCGAACGTGCGGAGGGCATAAACAGCGCCGTTGGACGGGTCGATGGTGACGAAGGTGGAGATGGAACTCCCGTGGATGGCGTTCTCCACCAGGAAGTAGCTCACCTGGCTGTTGGCGTCCAGGTCAGGGTCGGTTGCTAATAGCGACGTCAGGTAGGCCCCAGGGGCGTTGTTCTCTGATCTGAATACCTCATAGCGTCCCTTTTGGAAGCGCGGAGCGTTGTCGTTCTCATCCAGCACGTGCACGGTGAAGTGCTTGATGGTCGAGAGGCTGGGGGTGCCGCGGTCCTCGGCGATGACCGTCAGACTGAACTCTGACCTCTTCTCCCGATCCAGTGAGATGTTAGTGAGGATCATGTAGTTGTTCTCGTATGTCTTCTGTAGTTTAAAACTCCCCTGGCCGTGGAGTTTACACACAACCTCTCCATTGAGACCGGAATCTAAGTCCTCCACTCTTACCAAGGCCACGAAGGTATCCAATGGAGCAGCCTCTGAGATATAGGCCGCATCCTCTTTCCCTCTTTCCCCTTGGGACATCAGATTGATGCTGATGTCTGGTTTGTTGTCATTTACGTCGACTACCTTGATGATGATCTTGCAGTGCGCTGGCATGGAGTTGGGGCCCATATCCTGGGCTTGGACGTCGATGTCATATGACGTCATGCTTTCGAAGTCCACGCGCCTCATGAGCGTCAGGTGGCCATTATCCGAGTTGATCTTGAAGGTTTCCACAATTTTTGGGGACACGTGACTGCTGAAGGAGTAGACGATTTTGGCATTGGTTCCATCATCTGCATCGGTTGCGTTCAGATCAATAAGGAGAGATCCAACAGGTGAATTCTCCAATAGATTTATCACATAAGAAGACTGTTCGAAAACAGGACTGTTATCGTTTGAATCTGCCACGCTAATTTTGAGGAGAGTAGAACCGGTTTTAGGGGGAACGCCCTTATCCGAGGCTGTCAGCTGAAGTTCATAACCCGGCTGCGTCTCCCTGTCCAGCTCCCTGAGCACCACCAGCTCCGAGTACTTAGCCCCGTCTGTTCTACTCTGAATGTCAATCTTGAAGTAGTTGTTGGGCTCGAGGGAGTAAGTATAGAGGGAGTTCTCCCCGACGTCGGGGTCACTCGCGCTGTCCAGGGGAATGCGCGCCCCCACTGCCGCGCTCTCCGAGATCTCTATGGGGATGACGGCGCGGGCGAACTGGGGCGCGTTATCGTTAATGTCCAACACTTCCACCTCGACGTGGAAGAGCTGCAAGTGTTCTGTTGGAAGAGTCAGAACGTCGAATTCGATGGAACAGTTGAGGTTCTTCTCGCAGAGCTTCTCTCGGTCTATTTTGGAACGGATGCTGATCTCTCCGTCCTGCTCGCGCACGGAGAGGAAAGACGTGCTACCTCTCTGCATGGCTCGGAAGCGCAGAGACACAGAACTTGGAAGTTTGACCAAAACATCAGCCACGTCTTCTTTTAGCCGTGCAATAACAGTCCCCACCTTCTGTTCCTCGTAAACTTGATATTTTAATGTTTTACCTGTGACGTTTTTCGTGGCCATTGCCATAACGGCGAGAAGTATCATATTCGCGAGATGAGAAGAGAGAGGGGGAGAGAGAGGTAGCGGGGGTCAGGAGGTGAGTGGCAGGGCAAGAGGCAAGGCTAGGCGAGAAAAGAGGATGTTGGAAGGGGGAAAGAGAAGGGGAGGATAGAAGAAAGACGAGGGGGGGAGGGGGCATAAAAGAGGGTCTAGGAGAAGGAGAAGGGGGGTGAGAGGGGGCAGGTGGTGGGGGGGGAGGAAGGAGGGGAGGGAGAATAGGAGGAGCAAGGACGGTGAAGGTAGGAGGGGGGGGTAGTTGGGGAATGGAGTAACGATGCCAAAGACGAGTGGGCTGTGGGGCCTGGGGCAAAAGGAGGAAGGAGACGGTAATGAAAGGAAAAATCGAGGGGATATGGGGGCTACTCTACACTCCCTCATGCATCCTTCTACCAGGTTCCATCTTTGAAGTAATCCCTTGGGGTGATTCTGAAAGTAATTCCAAAACAGCTCCTTTACGCAGCCTGTTGTGATTCTGTTCTTGTAGCCTAATAAACTTAACGAATCCACTGCGCCCTGACGACAGTCATTAGGCTAATTGAAGCGCATTCTCCAAAGGCTAGATATTCCAATTTAAACACGTTCGTGCATCAAACAACGCAGGTTATTTCGTTCCCAGTCGTTTCTAATAGAAAACACAACGTCCAAACTGAGAGTGAGTTGCCTAAGGATCCCTATCCACCCCATTCCATTCCAATTCCAAACGCATACAAATCTGTTGCGCGTGTTTCTGTGCGGAGTCCTCTCTCTGAGTCTCCTGATAGACTTCCTATAGAGCATCGGCTGAAAAAAATCTGTTGCGTCTCTTTCCTCCTCCTGGGTTTGTGTGCAGATGATAGCAGTGCCGGTGGCCGTGCTTCATACGCAGCCCTCCGTCCTTCTCCTTCTCTCTTCTCTATCCCCTTCACTCACCTCGGACTTCCCTCATTCAGTCTCCTGCTCTCTAGCCTTCAGGTGGAACATCCGGATCGAGATTTCCCCTCACCGGCTTTCCCTGGCGAGTGCAACTCAAGTTTGAGTGGGGGACAAGGTGTTGCACATCTATCCAAATCGGCGAGTGACTCTCGGGGAGGCCGGGTAACGATGTTTTCTAACTCCGTTCTATGGGCGTACCGAGGGGAAGGAAACGCGCATCTGCTCGCAAAATTCACCTAACATGGGTGGGTGGGGTGTTCGCATGTGCAACAAGCAATGGTATTCGGGGGAGAGGGGCGTGCTTCCCGTCCGAGTGGGAGATTACTCAAAGTCGCGGGAGGGAAAACTTGCCGCATCAGGAACGCATACATGAGGAAGTGCCTTAACGGATACATCGGGATCGACTTGCTATATTTTCGGTAAATCGAGCGCCGGGGCTCTCCTCCTTACTTTTTTTCTCCCCCCAATCCGTCGCCCTCCCTCCATTTCCCTCTGCGCCCTGCCGGCACGGAAATCGCCTCTAGCCCAGAGTCCCCCAGAGAAATGAACAGTCTTTTCTTTCTATGCTCCCAGCAAGACAAACCATTACCCCTAAATCAAAGCCTACCTCCAACCCGGAACCAACCAATGCAAACCACGGGACCACCACTCAACACCAGAGGCGAAGGATAGAGGGGAAGTAGGAGGCGGGGAGGAAGAGAGAGGAGAGGGGGACGCAAACAGTCCGCCGACTGAACTTACTGAAACTCACTACCTCCGCCCTCCCTATCTTTTTCTCCTTTTCAGAGCTCCTTTCCCCCTTCCATTCCACAAGTCCATCCGCCCTCCACACTTCATTCTCTCCTTATGTCCCGGAATTTGCTGCCCAACTTCTGCGTTTCTTGTTCCTTTTTCCTATCTTTCAAAGATTATCTTATCTTGTTCTTCTTCTTGTAGCATTTTTTCTTTGTCGTTTTTCTTTCTTGTCTGTTCTTCTTTGTTCGCCTTTTCTTCTTTATTGATCCCATGGTACGGTTCTGTGTTCTGTCTTTATTTCGTATTCGTTCTCAAGCTTATTATCTCTGATTCTGTAACTTCTTCATTCTTCCTTTTCTTTCTATCTTTCCTTTGTCTGTGTCTTTGGGTTGGTCTTATTCTTTCTTGTCGTGGTTATCGTCGTTGTTTTCTTGTTCTTTCTCTTCTTTAAACTTGGGAGGTGCTTACTTTCGTGTTCTCTAGAGTACTTGTGTAGGTGGCATTTCTGAGTTTCTTTCTTGACCGTAGTGTCTTTGGATCTTGGGTGGCTTTGCAAGACTACGTCTTCTCTCTTTTCTTGGTGCTGTCTTTTTCTTTCTTGTATTTTCTTATGTGCTTTTGAGTCTTAGTCATTGTGTTGTCTTTCTTCACTTTCACCCCTGAGAAGAGGATAGAGGGAGGGAGAGAGAGAGAGAGAGAGAGAGAGAGGAGAGAGAGAGAGAGAGAGAGAGAGAGAGAGAGAGAGAGAGAGAGAGAGAGAGCGTGCCTCAACAATAGGGAAGGGTAAAATAACTCAAGAGAAACTTTCATTGGTGACGTTTGCCGGTTCGACTTTTTGTTAGTCGCGGTTAGAAGATGTCAGTTTTGTTTATGAGGGTAGGAGTCTCTCGCTTTTGGTCTGTTGTAGCAGACAGACTGGAGACAGAGCTAGGCTAATGTAGGATATACATTATTCTTCCTAAAGTATTGTTTCGAATTTTGTTAGGTGCAGAAAGACTGGAGACAGGGATAGGCTAGGCGATACATTTGGAGGCTACGTTCTTATTTATAACGTTTCAAATTATGAGTTGTCACAAGTGTTTATGTGTGTTGGCTTAACTAGCGAATTGAGAATTATCGTCACCAGTTTCACCAATTAGTTATTATAGCAAATGGCATATAGGGAATACCCAAATTAGACACACACAAACACACACACACACACACACACACACACACACACACACACACACACACACACACACAGCTAGCTTGCATGGACGCTGCATACATTCATTTTCTCCCTGATATTTTTATTCGGTGTCAGTTGAGTCGCCTTCCTTCCTCCTCCCTCCTCCCTCCTCCTCCCTCTCCCTCTCTTGGATGTTGTTGAGCAAAATTTTCACATGCGCCTCTTCTCCTAATCTGTGGCCGGTTGTGGGCGAGGGTAAGCCGGCTAAAGCAGTGTGGCGAATCACCGTGAAAGGGAGCCGGGTACTAATGAATGAGTTTAGGACTCGGTCACGCCGCGGTACATCTCTGTCCCTGTGCATAATACTGTTTAACATTCTCCAACTTCACAGATACACACACACACACACACACACACACACACAAACTCACGAACACACACACACACACACAGTATCCCATGCAAAATATTTTAAAAAAACAAGAGGAACATGCGCAACTGGGACTGCGCAAACCCATGACCATCTGGCACGGTCTGCCTGACACCCCAACCCCAGTCATTGCACCCGACCAAACACGTCTCTAAGGCTGTGCGTACCGAATTGCAGCCTATTTAGTGCCCTGTGGCCCTGGTCAAAAGTAGTGCACTATAAAGGCAGTGGGATGCTATTCAGGACACGGCTCCAGCTCACTCCCCTCCATCCATGCATTCCGAGGGGAAATTAGCTTGTCACCGTATGACTCCGAGACAGACAACAACAAAATGGGGGGGGGGGGGGGGGGGACGTCATGTTTGGGAACGTATCCAACATCTTGTATGGAATCATATGCAATCATCTGTTGACGTGCCCGTTTAAAATCTCTCCATCTCTTTCACACAGTCATCTAAACGCACACGACACATATGGGCGCTTATCCAAAATCTTCTGTTTAAGAGTAACCAATGTAAGACCTACAAGCTCTCACATTCTCACGTCAGAATTCGACTTTCAACCATATTTCTCAAACGTCAAATCACAAAGTTGTTCCTAAAACATGCGATCGTCTGTGGATTTGACCGTTTAACCATGCATGGAATATCTCACCCACTTTCATTCACTCTCCCCACACGTGTAGACCATAAATAATGGAATTTGCTAACTGGGTAAAAGTGATAGAACTTTATGCATGACCTATATGGTTCCATGTAAGACAAGACGCTATAAGTCCATAAGGTGGATGAATGAAACAATGCTCTCTCCCAATTATTGTCAACATGAGATATGGCGGATAAACATTTACTGACAGTCAACTGAGATCCGCGATGAATTTCAACGTTATACTCGTTAAGTAAATTGGCTTAAGTTGTGTGGACTTTCTATTTGATTCCAACGCATCTGAAAACGTTCTATAGGGTTCCAAATTTGCATAATGAGTTATCTGATTCCCAAAACGTGCACTGACATCGACAGAAGGTGCACATTTGACCCCTCTGAACCTTAAATTGGCGCAAAAACGTTGCTCTTAATCTTAATAATTATATGCATAGCTCTGACTATGTTTGACAAACGTTCCCTTTGAATGATTTCTTCTTTCTTCTGTCTCGTAGACTATTTAACCAGCTTTGATACGGGACTGGTGCTTTCCATAGAGCCCGAGCGCCACACAAAGACCGTAATGCAATTATACCTCGGGCGCTAGGGTGCTAATCACATTTTCGGGAACAAAGAAGCGAAAGTCCTTCCGAGTTTATGGAAAGAGGAGAATAAAAAGAGAGAAAGAACAGAAAAAAGAGAGAGGGAATGTTTTAAACTCTGGGTGAGAAATAAAACATTTGATGTAGCTATGAAGAAAAGGCTTGTAGGCTATAATGCATCTTAAAGCAGATGTGAGCTTAATAAGTTTAGGCATGCTACCTCATCAACATAATCACATCTATTTCTTTATAAATTAAGTGGCGAATGAAGTATTAATAGAAGAAGAGAAACAATGTAGTAAAGGAAAAGTTAAGCAAGTAATTTCTATAAAGCAGCTGCAATTGAGATGTTTTCTGCTGTGGCAAATTCGTTTTTATAATCAGTCAAACAATGGACTAATCTAGTTGGAAGGCCAGTCGATGGTGTAGAAAGCATAATCAATGGTGTAGATAGGCTAATCGATGGTGTAGATAGGCTAATCAATGGTGTAGA